AATCAGTATCTCGCTGGAACAAACCAGTTAACATATAGGTAGCAACCTTGCAACTTAGGAGACTTCGAAACTGTTTTTATCTTGTGGATGGACCATTTCAGTCCACTCTATGGGATGAAGATGGCATTTAATTTAGTGTAGACAGGACTGGTATCCAATATATCGTGGGTCAGCCTTGTCTACACCCCATATTCTCTTCAACACTATTTTCTTGTGGATGCACTTGGTCCACACCTATTTGACATTTTTTTATTGATATGGTACATCACCCTTCTCATTCTTTCCCATATCATTTTACCGTTATAGGCTCTTCACCACCGCAAGGGAAACTCTCTTCTACCATTTCGATCCACTTCATTGGACTAATATTTTGATGTTATGCTTGTCTCACAATAGTGGCTTTGTTATTTTGTTTACTTATATATTAATATTTTAATGTCTTTATCAATAAAACAATAATTTTTATTTTACTAATATTCTGTTAAAATAAATAATTATTGGTTAATGTTAATTTATCAATGATTTTTTCAATTTATTTTGGATTAAAAGTGTAAAAATTAGTCGTTTATGATCAACTATATAGATCATTTCATAAATAGTATGTAAGATGCATGGAATCAAAATGTTTGATGTCCACACTAGACAGAACACCACTGTGGGTGTGGACTGAACCAATCTACATTATCTGTTCACAATTCGGAACAGTTATGGACTGTGGTGTGATGTGATCGGTCCGTGCCACAGTGGTTAGGAAGAGAGAGATTTGTGGGAAAGACAAAGCATGGTTAGGAGAAGTTCTATTATCATTGTCTGGGACTCTGGGTCATTGGGAGACGCTTCAGGTTCACAACTTGTTCCAAGTCATCAAGAATAAACTAATTCTTTTATTTTAGACATCGAAACGTGGATGGATAAGACCAAGAATATGCAACTTCCAAAGTTGACAATTGTCCTCTTGAGTATTCGTTGTAGCTAGGGGTGTCARTTGAACTGGATTTGGTCTAGTCCAACCSAATCTATTATAAATGGATCAGGTCCAATCCAATCAAATAAATGTTTTGGGCCAATTTAGACCGGTCCAATTCAATGTCTGGACCGTCCAATCTGTTCAAATTCATTTTGATTTAGATTGGTTTCAATCCAAACCCGATCCATTGACACATATATTCTTACCTTATATCAATGGACCAGATATCTGACTTAACCCAACCATTGTTACAGACAGATCAGGTCCAATCCAATCCAATCTAATAAATATTTTGGAGTGAATAGGTCCAATCCAATATGTCTTGTTGATCCCTCTAATCTGTCCAAATTGATTTTGTACTCCATCCTTGTCATCTTATGTTAGTCCATCCATAATTTTGACATTAATGGATGATGACTGGTCTTCTCGGAGAAATAGCACCAGTCCTTCTAGGTTCTGTTTCTTTGTAGTACAAAATGTAAATTTTATTTGCACTGGTGCGATTGTGCATATATGTAAAAGTGCAAATGACATGATATGTGTTCCCTTTTAAAGAGAATGGTGGTGGTGGTGGTGGACCTTGAATGCTTTTCTAGAATTCTTTATTATGTTACATTTGTCAATCGACAAAGTGAAAATAATGATGACGTGCCTTCCCTGGACGGTGGCAGTCTTTTAGTCTTCATTTATTTGCAGTGCTAAATGCACATTTCACTGGTGCAATTATGCTTGAGTGCAAATTCTGTTAACTTCTGCTTCAAGTTTTACTTTGTTTTGGTAGAGTACAATGGGAAGCCAAAGAAAGTGCAAAGGTTGGCTATTTTGGAAGGAGTGAAATGGAAAGTAGAATGAGTGGAAACTTTGCACTGTCCATGAGTASAAATGAGACAAGAAGTGCAAATTTTGCATGCAGTATGGATTTGAAATGCAAACAAACAGGGCCTTGAGGCTTCATCCTTTCATCCCAAATCCCAATCCTTGATTCCAACCTTTCCTCTGGCTCTAAAATGCAAGCTCACTGACTACACATCATTGTGTACTGAGATAAGCTCCAAGGAGAGGTCCTTTAGATTGTTTAGAGCTCAAAGATGAAGGCTGTAGAAGAAACAGTATATCATTTCAAAAGAATAGGCCTTGTCTTCTATGCTTTCTAATTTTTCTTTTTCCTACAGAAATTATGAAAAAATAATTTTCATAAACAAATATATTAAATTGCATGAAAATAATGGTACATCTACATACAATGAAGGGAACCTAGAAGAAAACTAATCGCATCTCTCTGCAGAAAAAACCCTTTACCTTCTAAGTTATGCTCAGCAGAAATGAGATACATACATTGGCTTCAACAAAATAATAATCACTTTTTACATTTCAAACGTACGACCTTGATTAGCTAGGTCATGTGCATTCCAAAATTTTCATCAAGAGATGGAATGCCTCCTCTGTCTTGAAGATGAACCAGATGACTTGGTCTCCCCAGGATTCACTGAAGTGGGGCTCTGAGAACTACCAGATGTGTCGGAGCTCCTGTTCTCACTGTGTCCTTTACCTCCAACCCACAACTTGTCAAAGATCCTCTTCGATCGAGATGGCAGTAGCAACACACCACTCCCTCTGTTTTTGCTGCTCTTCTTTTTTTTCTTCTCTCCATTTCTCTCACATTCCTTTCCATGAATCTTCATGTGGCTAATCTGTTGCTTGAGTGAGTTGTAGTCCTCTAGGTCTGTCCTATTCCAATCTTCTGTGTTGGTCGTGGATCGAGAATTGTCACAAGAAACATTTTGTGGCACATTGAAGCCCCCAGCTGCAGTCTTGACCTGCTCAAAGAACAGGACCTGGACTACTACACGGAGGGGAAGACGCTCATTCTGTGCTGCATGCATGCATGCATCTGTTGTCAGATTCTTTACATCCATAAGCCCACATATTCTTCTTCTCTCAATTTTCGTCAAATTTGGGTGTTCCTGGACAAGAAATAATGACATATCAGACATCATAACGTAGAGCCCTGTTACAACTATTTTGGAAAACTACTGTGGCATTATAATAGATAATACTATAGCAATCGTGTTCTGTGAAAGAGAATGGACAGAATTCCTGAAAGAGAAAATTGCAAAATAGACATCATACTAATCAGCTCCCTGGATATAAATATGAAAATTCTTTGGAAATCCAGATGTTCTAACACAACTATAGCTCAAAGTGCACATAAATATAGAGATTACCTTCAGGTAGGTATCAATTGCTTTGTACAACCCATCATGGATTGGTCGAGCTGTCTCGGGAATCGATTGTGCCAGATTAATGAAGCTGGAGAGTGAAAGATTTGCATCAGAGGCAATTTCAACAAGATACCCATCAATAAGTTTGCCAACTTTAAGCCATGAATCCTGCCCTAAATCAAAATCATCTGCATCTTCATGCATCATAAACCGATTGATGATGTTCTGTACCAACTCAACATCATAAACTGTACTCTCAGGTGCTCGTGCTGGAATCAGTAAATCACTTACAGAAGCTCCGTCCAACTGTAAACTGATTCTTTTTACGAGTTCTTCCCTGGCTGCATCACCAGCTCCAACCAAAATGGCAACTTTCAACAATTTTAACAGAAAACTACAAAAACARCCAACACCCCCATCTGATGGCAACAACCAAACAATTGTTTCCACTAAAGCTCTATACTTCCAAGTACGATCATCAGAAACCAGGGCATCAATGGAATCTGGCAACCATCTGATAGCATAAACTTTGAGAGCCTCCCCTATCACATCTCCAGACATTCTCCCCTTCGATTTTATTGCAACCATTACTCGCTTGTAGAGGCCAATATCCAGCTCACATATATCTTCAACCCACCAGTCAATGGGAACGGATTGCATTTTCTGTTGGACTTTGGTGTCGTGTTCAATAATCTCTCCAACTGCTAATTTTCTGTTGTAGGTATATGACCAGTTGACATTTGTTGGATCCACAGAGGTTTTAGAAGCAATGGAATCTATGCATCTACCTACCACCTTCAGCTCTTCAGCCCATGGTAAAAGAGACTTGGTGGTCTGGAGGACAATAATTGAATCTTTCCAACTGCGGAAAATACTTGAGTTTAGAAAAACCTCAATTTTAAAAATTAAATTCCCACGATCAACATCCTCAGTCATCTCAAGGTACTCAGCTGCACATCGAGCAGCAACAACATTATAAGCATTGAGAGTAACTATCATTCCATAGCAGAATTTAGCACAGATCTCAAAGGCTTTTGGCCCTCCTGGAAAATTGGCAATATGGACTTCCTCGCTGTTCTCATTAGCTTTCTGTACCAGCTTTTGCAAGCGATGGCTCTTGGACAAGAGAGGAAACTGCATGTACATATTAGAATCGGTTTTAGAAACTGGAGAACAGAAAACAACAAGGATCAATTGATCTTCCAATAAGGAAGATGCTGACAGGCAACATGATAATACATCGGGTATCTGATTTGGATGTCACTAGGGTGGGGAAGAGATCACTAAGGCCTACTACAGGAGAAACAAGGACAAATTGAGCAAAATATTTGATGAATGCGATCATTACAAGTTATCACATGCCATTATGATGTCTTCCATAATTGTGCTCAATTATGAGAATGGATGCTGTTAAGATATGTGTGTTAGCATGACCTTCCCACGAGTGTATCTGCAAACTAGTTGTCCAGGCAACTAGATGCCCCCGCCTATGTGTCACCTAGATGGTGATTTATCAAACTAAAGGCATGGTTAACTTGTTTCTCTAGCATTTTTCGGAAGTTTGTTTCCATAGTTGAACAACCAGCAAACATTAGAAGTGATCTCAAATGAACATTAAAAATAGAATACAAGTAACATTATTAGTCTACGAAGAATAAAATCTAAAGGGTGGATGCTTTATCCTGTTAGTACAAGGAGATATAAAGAGAATTTCTCTGTGCTTGTTGATTCAGTCTGCTAAAGGGGATTCAACAAGGAGACTTGGTGGTGGATTCAGCAACTATTATGTTGGATTCAACAATGACATACAAGAGAGGTACGTTTTTGTGTGTTGACTGCAAAGAAAAATAATAGAGGGGAATTGCCCCACTTGGAAAGATAGACTGGGTGATTAGAGAGAATCAGAGAAAAGAAAAGAAATAAACAAAGAGGTAAAACACCTGATTCAACAGTGAGAGAGAGAGAGAGAGGATACTCTATTTTGTTTTCAAAAATGAGAGACAACAACAATAAATAAATAAATGAAAAGTAGAAGAAGAAACTTATTGTGATAAATACCATGATGAAAGCTACTAATTAAAACCCTACCATAATGAATATATTACTTCCCATTTCTACCAATGTTTGCTTCAAATCCACTTTAAACTGAAGATTGATTTATTATTAATGCCCTTTTTGCACGATTTTCCCCTTAATTATACAATGTGATATGGATTTAGCTGCACTACACCTAAAATTTTACAGTCTCAAAAACAAAATCATCAAGATTAGGCATAAGGTAACCCCAAGAAAAATGCCTAATTCCCTAGATGCTGCCTAGACACCTTGGCAACTATGTGTACATCTGGCAAGAACAAAAATGCAGAAATGTTTCGTTTGGGTTGCATTCTAACTAAAACTAGTGCTTATTAAAAAAGTTCGTATCTGAAATATTTTTAAATTTTCTTTTCTTTTCAATTTCAATATTTGCCCTGCGTGTAAATGAATTGCCACTTAAAAGCCAAAACAACATGTTCCAAAGACATCAGATTCTGGCTATTTTCAGAGGACAAGTTACATTAGCTTCACAGAAACCATCAGGTTCTAACTTCTACAGGTCAAATTTCCATATTAATGCATGAAAGAATTTATTCCATTTTGAACAGGTGTCAGGTCAATTTCTTGCTGAGAAAAATATTAGGTTAACTTAAGTGATATCAGAAAAAAAAAATAAAAAAAAAATACTGACTTGGATCATAAAGATTCAATTTGTTCCAGGATATAAAGAGAAAACTTACCTTATGCAGGAAAAACTTTACCTCCCCAACATTTAAAACAATGTCTGTTGCCAGCTCAGATTCAACATATCTGCATCAGCAGTTTAACCACGTCAAGTACATGAGATGACATTGCAACTGAATGAAAGTTTGGAAGAAGCCATAAAAATTTAATGGGAGATATTTCAAAATTGCATATGGCAAAAGAAAACAAAGGCTCAGTTGAACTGATCTCAATGATTTGCAAATTCATCCCACCTGGCATTTGGCACCTTACTTATAGTCATACTGAATTCAGCAAACTGGAGGAACATACCTATGAACCTATATATCTCTGCATGCAAGCTTAAGGAAAGTAACAGAATATCATAGGAAACAAAAAAAAGTCGATGCAAAATAAGCCCTCCTTGTTTTCAGTTGAGTGGTAAGAACAGGATGTCCAATAAGAATCAAAACCCAAGAGATCCAACAAATCCAAAATGGAAAATTCCTTTGTTCATCACAATAGAAAAATGTTTCTAGAGTCCTAATACCAGATACCTTATAGCATATAATGTCAACAAGTACCTATCTTCCACTCCCTGAAAAGAAACTTTACTCAAAAAAAAAAAAAAACTCCATTACCCTATATTTAAGTTATTTTCTTCCCTGCATGTTTAACATTCCTAATCAGAGCACCATATGTGAGTACATAAAAACTCTACTACCAGGATACGGACATGGACTTGCAATGTTTTACATAAATGAAATAATTTTAGCAGTGAAATTACAAGGAACCTGAGATGATGAAGGTCTTGCTGGATTTAACATTTATCTTTGATCCATTTAGATTAAAGCTTCAGTCAAACTTTTATACTATCCCATTTCATAACATGGAGTCTGAGCTTATAGCTCCTTAACCGTACTATGCCCTTCAACTAAGCAGGCAATGCAAATTAAGAAAACAAAGCCATGAAACTACAAGTCCATGTCTGATTAAAAAAAATCCTTCTAGGAGGCAGGTGTGACAATGTGACTTTATCACCACATATATGTATTCAAATTTTAAAATTTTATTGTCTTACTAGTACCAAGATCCCATGACTACCTGTCTACCTCATTCCCTCATCAGAAAATGGTATTATTATTTAAGGTCACTTTAGGAAGTATACAACCAATACCACAGATTTCATGAAATTAAATTTTCTTTTCTTTCTATTTCTTTTTTTTTAATTTTTAATTGTTGGTTTTGAGATTAGATGAAGAAACAAGTATTCTACAAGGCCAAGGATAAAGGCATGTTATAGTTTTCCTCTGACTCTTAAACTTCTATTTCGAATAGTGAATCTTTATGGAGCCAAAAGTTGCAGGAAAGTGACTCTAACATCTTGGTTCCCATAAAACACCTTTTTTGAAGATGAAAAGGCTTGCAGCAATCAAAATTTTGGCAATCAATGAGGAACTTGGATTTTTCACAATTCCATGTTAAAGAAACATGAAATTAACAGATTAAGGGATCATCTTGTGCATGATAAGAGACTTAAAGCTCCAATGACAGTTAGAAACCCCAGCCCTGAATATTTGCAGTTAGTACATCAGGATTCCTCCAAGTAGCAACTGCAACTTTGACAGATGTCAAGTGTGCTCGCTATGTTCCAACTACAGATGGAACAAAAAATTAATCCAAGAGTTTCACTTAGAATACCGAATACCGCATAGGAACTCTTTCTTTTTCACTCACCTAACTCTTAGTTTAAGGAAATAGAGTACTTATGGCATGGATGAGTTACACGCTTATTCTGGTGAGCCCTTCAACAGGTATAGAATTCTTTTACTAGGCTTAAAATGCAATTAGTAAAAGATTATCAACCTTTTATCTCATTAGGATAGGAAGCTGGGTAGTTAAACCAAACCCAACAAGGACGCAGAGATAACAGGGAAGAATGTCAACCAATCCTAAAAAATTATCACACCTCTGTCTCCTAAAACATGTGGATTAAATGCCATTGAACTTTCCCAGCCCCCCATTATCCATCAGTCACGCTTGTTTTCTCGTAATCAAACGTCTCAGCTTAAAGAAAGGGTTTGGTATGTGTAGAAATCAGAAAACTTTCCTCCATTACCTGGCATTATATGTAACCAGGTCCACCAACTCATCAATCAAGAGAGTTCACACAGTGGACCACCTCTTGAGTGAGTCAAATGTAATTTATTAATCACGTCTATTCCTGTTTTAACCCATCCAACAGTTAAGATGTACAACTTATGGTTACCAAATTGTGAAGGACCAACAACTGTGACTCACCATAGTAATTACATTCCACAGACCACAGAAACCCAAATTGCAAGGAAAAAGCAGAAAAAAAAACGGAGAAGTACGGAAACACACTATGCAGAATTCCGAATTCCAGCCCCCCCTATAAACCACATCCTGCCCGTGAATTTGACATCAATTTACGGTCAGATGCATTCCCCCTGTACTTTGGGGCTATAAAATTCTGATCTGGGCTGATTAGTCATTCTCCCAAAATCTAAAGAATAACGGATTGAGAATATCCATATTCTTTGATGAGGGCATTCCAGTAAATTTAAAATTGGAAGTAAAAAAAATGGGAAAATAAGAAACCAAAGGAAATAGCACTGTAGCAAGCATATAGATTTAAGAAGACTTTGAATGGAGAAGAAAGGAACAGAGTAAAGGAATGAAGCTACAGGTTTGTACATGACTGACTGCATGTAACATATACCACCGAAAACAGGACAAAATCGACCTTACGAATAAACAGAACTCCTACAATGTGGAAGAAAACAGAAGCCAAAACAAAAAACAGGAAGAAGAATAAAAAAAATCGCAACAAACAAACAAGCTACGACATATAATCAAGAGAGAGAGATAGAGATGACACGGAGAGAAAAGAGAAAAGACGAGAGGAACAAAAATACCAGAATGAGACACCGACCTGATACAATTTCCATCAGCTTTAAACACATCCGGCTTCGATCCCAACTTCATAAACTTCATCTCCCAATACACACTTGGAGCCAACACAGAAAAATCCACCGAAAACAACCTAAAAATCTGCCTGGAAACCACTTTTGAACGCCAAAAACCACACTTCTGACTTCACTACCGAACCCACTCAAGTTTCTCCCCGAAACCCAACAACACCAATACACGGTACTCTATCGCGCCGTCCTTTGCAGCCCCTTTTTAATTCCTCGTTGATAGAGACAAAACCGCCTGACCATCCCCCAACGCAAGAAAAAACCACTCCCAAGTCCCAATCCTCAGAAACGCGGTTTCACACAGCAAAAACCGCTATTACCAGACTGCAACATTTCTCTAAGAGACCCAATGCATGTGGGGCTATATTCATATCAAACAACGTTCAATCCCCGCCGTCTGCCTTGGTTTCACAACCGTTTCGACATCAATGATGATGATGACGACGATGTGTACTCGATAGTCGATAATTCTCTCCTGTCTCTTCTTCTCCCAGACTCCCACTTCAATTCTCGCCGCCTAACATTAATTCACGCTGATCTGCGAAGATTTCTTGGAGTAAATTCTCGAGATAACTTCTTTCCCCTCTCCGTGATCTCTCTGTATTGCCTGAGAGACTCCACCTCGCTCTGAGAGATTTGCAGAAAAAAGAAAAGAAAACGGAAGAGTGTTGTTGTTTGCTTCCGCGTGTACGTGTGATAAGCAACAGGGGACTATCCACAGTCCACAGAGAGGGCTCGCCTAAAGGAGCTTTATGCCGTTGAAGCACGCCACCCTCCTTATGACCAAAATGCCCTTATTTGTTATTTGTAATTATCCAAACTACCCTTCTACCTGACTTTTCGGCCATCTAGATTCCAGCTTGGTCGGTCTTGTCCAGTATTGTCGACCGTAAACGTGGTCCCACGGCTTAATACCTTCGGTGGGGCCATGTGTCGGAGGGTCGTTACGTAAAGACGATCCTAACCCTCCAATCTGTGGTGCAATGAGTGAACGGCCTGGATTCAATGATTGGTAAATCAACAGACAACAATGCTTCTTTGGATTCCCGGGACGTGGTTCGCCTCACGTGCAAGGGAAGTGGACCCAGTGTTCTAAATGTTCTCTCGGATGATTGAAGGTCAAATTGAAACATGGGTCCAAGTGAAATGTGAGAGATCAGAGACATCGGGTCCCACCTGGTATGGTAGAAACATCCAATGAAAAAAAAGTCAAGATCTGATGACCATGACCACTAGATCTTTGACAAGTCGTGCGATCAAAGGTGGGGCGTGGTACGGCGATCCAGAAGTCACGAGGCCAAAATGGGTTGCTGGGAATGGGTCGGGTCGACGGGAATTATCAAATTCGGGCTAGGCTCCGGATGGTAAATGCAGGATCCTTTATCCAAAAGGATTGGGAATGGCAACGTGTAGGGTAATCCTGATTCCTGAAAAGTGTCCTTCCTGTTTCATAACCTGTTTAGGTATTCTTGAACCCAAACCCATTTATCTTTTTCTCCCAATTTCCCAATTACGTCCTATCTTAAATTCGTTTAACCCGTCCCAATCAATTATTATTTGATAATCTTATTATTGCTATTACTTTTCAAATTTGAAATTGAAATTTAATTATCTTAATTAATAACCATTAAATCACCATAATTGACTCTATTGACTACATAACTATCTTTATTTAACACACCATTTATAATATTAATTATCTTCATCTCATAATTGATTTAATTATTTTATTAATTCTATTTAAATATATTTAAAACCAATATTGTCTAGAATAGAAGGATTTTAAACCTAAGTTGATTACTTAAAATATAAGTATTTTAACCACTATTCCACTTGATGATATCTTGTTAAAATAGTATTGATAAGCAATTATATTATATCCATGCGTATTAAAGTACAAAAAATATTTATTTACAAACCGGCTTTGAATGCTTTTGCCTTTATAATCTCAATTATCTATTTAAGATATTTTTTTATGGATAATTTCTTAGGATAATGTACTTTTTATACTAAGCACAACACCATTATTTATTAAATTTTGTTTATTTAAAACTTTGTAACCTTTTAAATGATCATTAATGAGATTTATAGTAGTAGTTTGTTATGTTATGCATATACGTATATACCAATTAGGGGTGAGTATGGGTCAGTTTGGTTTGTTTTCATGGCAAAACTTAGAATCTACCATGTAGGGGTTGATTCCAGGTTTTTGGAACCGAAACCTACCCTGTTGCAGGGTCGGTTTTGGCCTTAGCAGTTTTGGGGTCGGTTCTAGGGTCTACCCGTGGAACCTATTCTTTCTTTACTTTTCCCCTTCAAAAAAATGAAACATGTCCTAAAAACTTAATTTTCGATAACGATAATATATAGTTTAAATTTTATATTATCTTTATTAATTAAATTGAGTAATTTAATATGTAGATTATCATAATATATTAATATATGGTTCAAAATTTGTCATTATAATTTAAAATTTGCAAGTATTACCTTTTACATTATTTATTATACATATTCAAATATTAAAATGAAAACAAATGATCAAATCACTTAAGTAACTCAATGGTCAAGTGAGACCACGACTTTTGTAACCATGAGTGCTTGGTTCAAATCTTCACATCCTTAAAAATATTTTGGGGTTTATTTCAAGGAAAATTTGGTTCCAAGACTGATTCCACCAAAACCATCCAAGCCTGATTCATTGGGTCGGTTCGGATAAGGTAAACCCCTAGAGGCTAGACCCTAGAACCAACCTAGGTGGGGGTTGGTTCCAAGAATTTGTAACCAAACCCTACCTTGTAACAAATTGGATAGAGTCGATTCAAAGCCGATTCCATTCAGTTCTAGTTAGAACCTACCCATTTGCTGACCCTAATATCAATGTTTCCTTGGGACATTCTGATGGTTATACATTCCATTTATATGGTGAAATTACACTTCATATAAAGTTATAAACTATTAAAATGCATTTTTCTTATGCATAGAGTTATTAGAGAGAGATATCAGGAGTGAGTACATGCATTAAGTATAATTAGGTTCAGGTACTTTACGATCAAAACCTAAATCTGTCCCAAACTCTATAGAGTTTTAATATAAAATCCCAAACCTGTTCCATGATTTTAACGAACTGGTCCTTGAGGTGGATCAGATACCCTAAAATTCCCATCAAATTGTCATCTCCAAAAAAGATTGCAAGCCGTTTGATAACAGCTAAAATGGCTGAACTAAAAATTTTATTATTTTTGTTCTCTTAGGCTTAATTTGGAAGGAGTACGAATACAAATATATAAAATGCAAAACATTCTAAGTTGTATCATTTTGTATGTATTTATATTATACATATTTGTATTTATATTCCTTCCAATCTGAGGGAGTAAATTTTTGAGGAGATTGTGAAAAAAAAAATAAAAATAAAAATAAATAAGTCATTCAGTTGATAAACGGCCGTGTAAGCATATACTGCGTGTGAAATTGTGAGTATAGTCCACGATGGAAGCTGGAGATGTTAGTCGGTTGGGTTTAAGTGGTAGACCCGCACTGACACGATTGTCTCAAGATTTGGTTAAGGTTAACTTGACCCGTTGACATTAGAGCATTGAAATCTTTGTATATTTGGATTTGGTTAATTGCTACCCAAGGCCAAATGCAGTGTATATTGGATCGGGTTCGATATTTCCAAAATCTTGTATTTCAGGTCGAGTTCGGGTTTGTCCAAATCAGGACAGGGCCAAACCGTTGGCATCCCTAAATTTCCCTATAGTGCGGCCGGTATGTGCATTCTTTATTCAGTTACATTCTTCAGGTGCATTCCTATTGGAAATCCAGCAAGAGACTCAAACCCAAACATACTTTAAGTTACCAAAAAAAGTTCTTTCCTTCCGACCCACTCTTAACCAATGTATTAAAAATCGATCTGAAACTAAAATTACTTTGGCCACTAATTTTTGGGTCAGCGGTTTGACCGTCCGATGAATGGTACATTTCAATTTAGAAAAATAAAATTAAAAATAATTAAAATAAAAATTAATCAAAAACTATTGTTTGGGTTAAATGGACCAACGGTTTGACTGYCCAAGTCAATGCGTTATTGATCAAGTCAACAGTTTTTTTTTTGTTAAAGAATGGGTTAAGGGCGGAACAGAACTGGTTGCCTAGATGGTTCCCAAGCTGAACGATTCGACCATCTAGGTCAATGATGGTTTTGAAAACACTATTGTTAGCTACTTATCAACCTTCTATCCATTTAAATAAATAGATTCGTCATATTTTGAATGACATRTCAACCTTTATTACTGCCAAATTTCACAATTGATATATTTACGAGGTGTTCAACAACATGGTTAATTTTGTTTTTGATAAGGAAGGCAATTTCTACCATGCCTGGTGAGTATCCACCCTGATGGGGCGGATTTTTTTGGGATAGGATGGGCTTTGGGATTCTACAAGGTACAGGTAAGGTACAGTACTAGGCTAAACGTGACCCTTCTTGACCCACATATTTTTGGACACATGAACTTTAGTATTAGATCTTGAATTTAATAATTTGTTGAATTTTTTGTGAAGGATAAATGATAGTTTATACATTTTTTACATGTCTTAATCAAATAATTGAAATTTTTGTTGTTTGTTTGTAATATTTTACCTATTTATTGCTTACTAGTAAATTTGCACATGCTTTGCACGTGGCAATTTTAGATGATGTAGATGGTAATATACATCCAAATTATTTTAAATTTTGTATATAATTCTATATTAGAGATGTCCCAAATGTTTTCTACAAACATTATGTATTTTTTGAGTTCTTATCTTTCTTTAATTTTCATTATTTAATTATGACATCATGGCTTGACCCAGATGGTTGACCTTACCCACCACCTAGACAGGACAATTTCATTTTTTGGTTCAATTTTGAAAAAAAAAATGAGACTTATATTGTTAAAAGTATTAGATATAGATCTAATAACATAATTTATTGGTGAAAAAATATCTCAAATATATCATTTAATGAAAGAGAATGGGCATTGGCACCTCAAAATCTCAAATATATGACTTAATGAGAGGGATTTGAATGAAGTGAAATGTAATAGTTCAAATTACATTTTTACCCTCACAATTAAAAATGGACTAAATTCAAATTACATTTTACATTTTTTTTTATATATCCATGTGTATAAAAATAATTCTATGTTTTTGTTTAATATGATGAATATGCAATATTAGGGATGCACCCAAATATTTTTTTTTTGCAAAGTTTATGTATTTTTTCTTTTTTCGAGTTTTTATCATGTTTTTACTTTTTATTATTTAATTATGACATCAAATATTGACAAAATTGACCTAAAAGTTGAACTGTTGACCCAGTCCAAATAGGAAATCAATTTCTTTTTTTTTTGTTTGGTTTTAAAATTTGTATTTCATTTGCATTATCAATAAAAAATAACCATTGTTTATAACACTTATTTTTCTTTAATATGATTAATGTAAAATATTAGAGAAATGACCATTTTTTCTACATTTTTATTGAATTGGCTTACCCACCATTTGGATGGAAGAATGGTTTCATGTTTTTTTTTTTGGTTAATTTAAAAAAAGGATAAATTGTTGAAACCTCTCTTGAAGTTTCTAATCGTTGCTAAAGTCTCCCCTGAAGTATGGTAATTGCAATTGCCTCCCTTGAATTTTCTAATCCCCTCTCTTAGAATCCTCTAA